TGATTTAGTGCTGTTTTACTTTTCTGGTCATGGTTATCATTTTGATGGAAAAAATTATTTGATCCCTATAAAAGATGCCGATATGGAAGATGAAACAGATATTCCACATTGTGCAGCAAATGTTCAAGGAATACTCGATCGATTAATGGAGGGAAATCCACCATATGCGACTATAATGATTTTGGATTGTTGTAGACCCTACTTTATTAAAAATGCATCAACATCAAGTCGTAAGTAATGTTATGAATAACTCTATGAACCAAAAATTAATGTTTCTTTAGCTACTGGTAATGGTGCTGGTCTGTGTGAATTGAAGGTGCCTCTTCATACATTTATTCAGTTCTCTTGTGCCGCTAATCAAACTGTTATTGATGATTGGTTCACTACGCATTTGCTGAGAAATATTGTGGAAAAGAATGTGAATATCACAGACGTTTTTCAGCGTATTTCCAATGATGTGTATGTGGAACGTGGAAACATCCAACGACCATTGTCGATGAATGGACTAATGGATAATAGACCAGTGTGTCTCAATCCGCAGAAGCGAGGTATGTATTAAATAAATATTAAAAACTATGTTAATTTTGACAAAAAAATTAGAAAGATTTAATTATTGTTCTCGGTAAGGAACACTGAGCAGATGAAAAGTTTCGATCCTCATTCGTTATAATACTAGAATAAACAGAACCAAATCAATCAACTATTTCGAAATTTTGTTTCTAATTCGCGTTGATCTTTTTCAATGCTTTGTCGAATCGCATTATTTGACATAAATTTCAAGCCAGATCTGTTATAAAATTGTATTTCTCTTTCGAGAACTCTTGTTATACGGTGCGGGTGTGGGTATGTGTGTGTCACTTTCAATGCTTCGACACTCATACCCACACCCACCACACTCGCATTTAGAGTTGATCTACCGTTTAATAAATAGCCCAAATCTCTAACTTCCTTGGCAGTGCCACCATATTATTTTATGTTTGAGGGTGAAATGAAAATGTAACGAATTGGTATTTGATTTTTTTCAGGTCCTCAAAAATTAGCACTAATAATTGGTAATTATGACTATAGTGATCAGAAAAATAAATTAACTCAATTTGTAAAGAACGTTAATGATCTTAGCAAATTACTTGAAACTATCGATTTTCAGGTCACTTCACATTGCAATATTAAAGAGAATATGATTGGTCCGATACAAGATTTCTGCAAGAAAATTATACCTAATGATTTAGTGCTGTTTTACTTTTCTGGTCATGGTTATCATTTTGATGGAAAAAATTATTTGATCCCTATAAAAGATGCCGATATGGAAGATGAAACAGAGGTTCCAGATTATGCAGCAGATGTTCAACGAATACTCGATAGATTAATAGAAAATAATCTACCATGTGTAACTGTAATGATTTTAGATTGCTGTAGACCCTACTTCATTAGAAATCCCTCAATATCAGGTCGTAAGTAATGCTATAAACGACCATATGAAAGAGACACTGATGCTTGTTTAGTTATTAGGAAAGGTACTGGTTTGTGCAGAATTGAAGCACCGACCCGAACATTTATCCAGTTTTCTTGTGCTACTAATCAAACCGTCAGTAATGATTTGTTCACCATACATTTGTTGAAAAATATTGCCAAAAAAATGGTGGATGTAAGAGATGTTTTTCGCTGCATATCAGAAGATGTCTACTGGGCGAGTAAAAAGACACAGCGGCCGCTGTCAATGAATGGATTAATGGATCCGAGACTAATTTTTCTAAATGCAGTCAAAAATGGTATGTATTCAATAATAATCTAGTTTTTTGTTTGTTTTGACGACAAGAGTACAACTTTTTGATCACATGTTTCACATAAGAACCATTTCATCGTGAAGCTTTCAATTTCTATTCATCCCAATATGATTATAAGCAATAGCAGCAGCAGCAAATAGATCAATCATTTCAAATTTAGCTGAAAATCACATCATGTGGTAACTTTTAAAAAGGTGTAGTCACAGGCAAACTAAAAAGTGTAATTTGCAATGATTGAATCAAAGAGTAACTGACGAGGGAACATATCCAACTGATTCCGAGCTTTCGGCTTCATCTTTTGGCTACAGGTAGGCCTCAGTGAGACTAAGACAACCCTAGAAGCGTTCGTTCCCATGGCGTATT